ACTTACCCTTGTATGGAAAAGCAAAGGATGGTCAACAGGTGCCTTGAAGTGACAAAAAATACAATAGGGCAATTGTAGGCACCTTCCACTGTTCTGAAAAATCACTGATTTCAATCAAATACTGTGCCTATGACTAAGCATTTGAGCACTGAAGCCAATCACCCACAATCCCGCAGCAGAAAAGAGAACCACTGGCTCCATGTGACATTCAGCATCACATACGACTCATATTGCAAGACATCATTTGTTTAACAAGTCGTAATATATTAAGGATGCTTGCTCACCTTGTGGAACACTCAGAACAAGTTAGTCACAATCCACAGTTTTGCTATATTGCATCTGAATACCTATCCAACACCCATGTGGAGATGTCAAACAGGCTTCAACTGTATGGCAGCTGAGGAACAGATCTAGGCTAAAGATATAAATTTGGGAATCCCAACTATACAGGGAGCATTTAAAGTCATAAATTAGATGTCCCAAGGGGAACAAAAAGGTACGAAGATTGCAAACTGACTGTTTAAAGGTTGATGAGACAATCAGCAAAGGAGACTGAGAAGAGGGCAGATGAGGCTGAGAGCCACAATTTCAAGTAGTAAAGAGTGAGTAACTGCGATGAGTACTGCTATGGCATGAAGACTAAAAGGCAATGGCCTTGATTAATTTATGACTGTAGAGTAGTAAAAGTGAAGCTTAACCAGTGTGGACTCAAGAGAGAAAAAACAGCAAGACTAAGCCCGAAGAGTCAGAGGTCTGGTGGATTGGCGTCATGAGAGCCATTTGGAAGCTGTAAACCAGGAGGACCTTGTGCCATACCTGGGGAGACTCCCTGGAAGCCATTCTTCCCCTGACAGCACAGGCTGCGGTGGAGGAGCGCGTGGAGCTCCGGAGAGGTCTGCACTGAGATTCCTGCTGCCTGTGATGATGGTTGGGGAGAGGACACTAACTTGTTATGGGGTCCCAATGCGATGGGACGCCGGAGAGAAAAAGCTACAAAGAATGGCTTTCACCCCAGATGGCTCACTTGAGATGTAAGAACTGCCTCCTCAGTATTCCATAGCTGTGACAAGGAGGAGGCCAAGGAGAGAAAACAAAGAGACTGAGAAATAGCAGCTGCTTTTGCTGCAGCACTAAGAGAAACAGACCCTAAGTCTGATTCTCGGGGCCCCAAGAAGAACTCGACAACTGCATTCATCTGCTACCACTGTTAAAAGCAGGCCACCTCAAGAGGAACTGCCCCAAGAGGCCCCCTGGGCCATGCCCTGAATGCATAGGTGACCACTGGAGATAGGTCTGCCCTCTGAAGAGGAGGCTCCAGAGCTCAGACCCATCTTACCAGGTAGTCTAACAGGAATGAGGGGGCCCGGGGCATACTCTGCCTTCTCCCTCTGGCCAGACTGTCATCTCCATGGAGGAGCCCTGGGTAATCATGACTATGGAGGAACAAGAAAATAGCCTGTTGCTAGACACAGGTGCAAGTCTCTTGGTCCTTCTTTTCAATCCTGGCCTTCCTTCCAGCCGTCACACCTCAATGACAGGAGTCACTGGTAGGAGGTAATATGCTATTTTTGACAACCCTTAGGCTGCAACTTGTTAGATCCTTCTTGCATATCTCTGTCTTCCTGAGAAACCACTTTGAAGATACCACCATGTATTATAGCAGCCATTGATATTTTCCTACTAATCTGTGCATAACTCTGTAATGTTTGTATTGCTTCTATCCTATTTCATAAATGGATCCATGTTTATTATTATGTGTTTCCTACAACAACCATTGAGAATTATTGAATGATTATTCACTAGATCACTCATGTATAGCTCTATTTATTTTCTTTAGAAGCCACTTTGAAGATACCAAAGTCTAGTACAACAACTATTGATAATCTCCTACCTCTTTTGTCTGTACCTCACTATTATTTGTCTATTTGTTTTCCTGAGAAACTATCTTATAGATAACAATATGTAAAACAATAACCACTGATAAGTTCCTACCACTTTGTCTGTAATTTGGTAAGCCCCCCCCTTATTACTGCTATCCTTCTTTTACTCTTTAAAATAAAAAAAGAAAAAAAATAAATACTGAAAAAAAGAGAGAACAAACAAGAAGAATGTAAAGATAGACAACACCTTCAAGTTTTGATGTAAAGGGAATGGCAGTAAGGGGATATATGGACTCAAGACTGGGTTCCTGACGATTAGGACATATGAGGCAGAAAACAGAGGGAGTAATTGTTGGAACTATGTCCTCATGTGGGCAAATGGGGATGAGTTATGGTGTATACAGGAAGAGGCTGTTTATATGCAAGAGCATGGGCCCGGCATCAATAATAACAGGAGTGAAAGCACAGCAAGACAGGGTTTCACATGTAGTTCAGGCCAGCCTTGAACTCACTATGTTGCCCAGGCTCGTCTTGAACTCACAGTGATCCTCCTGTCTCAGGCTCCTGAGTGCTGGGATTATAGGCATGCACCATCACACCCAATTCAACAAGTGGAGGTTAATACAGGCAGGACGGCAGATGTGGTAGGAGAAATGGGTGAGAGTTTTTTCTGATTTCCTTGCTTTTCTTAGTCAAACAGGAAGCAAAGTCAACGGCTAAGAGTGTGTGGTGTCGATGGGGCTTGGAGGCTTTGGAGAAAGAATATACAAGGCATGCATGACCCTTGCTATCCCAGAGTTTACAGCTAACTGTGGGACATGGGTATGTTTGAGCAAAATGACTTTGGAAAAGAAGAAACACAGGTGCCACAAAAAAGAAACCAGACTACCAAGACTTAATTATAGTTGAACAGCAGCACAGGGAATTTCTGCCAGAGAGGCATCACTTAAAGCAGATGTCAACAAATTTGTTTTTCTTTTTCTGTGAAGAGCCAAATAACATGTATTTTAGGCTTTGCAGATCATAAAGTTGCTAGCACAACTACTTAACTCTGTCCTTATACTTTGGAATCAGCCACAGATAGTATATAAATAAATAAGCATGACTGTGTCCCAATAAAACTTTAAAGCTATAGGTAGCAGATCAGACTTGGCCCATGGCCCACAGTTTGTTAAGCCCTGATTTCAACGGAGACTACACAGAATAGAGTGAAGAAGTAATGGCAAGAAAGAGAAAGCATTTCATATAGAGGGAAAAAATATCTAAAAGTCTAGTTTTTCATTACTTCTAATTCCCACTTTCATTGTGACCTACCCAAGGATGCTAGGTTAATTTCCTAAATGACTGCCTTGGTGTTACTTTCTTATCCAAGAATCTATAAGGAGGTGGGCATGGTGGTGCATGCCTGTAATTCCAGCACTTGGGAGGCTGAGGCAAGAGGATTACTGTGAGTTTCAGGTCAGCCTACCAAGTAAGTTCAAGGCCAGTCTGAACTACATAGCAAATCCTGTCTCAAAAAGAAAAAAAAAATCTGTAATGACTTCTTACAGTCTGCTCTGTCGGGTCTAAAGTCTACCACCTATTCTGACCATCTAATCTCACTTCAAATCACAAAAATCCACTGTAAGATTGGTTCACAAACTTTATTGCACATTGGTATTAACTAAGTGAAAGGTAATTGTGCTTTTAAAAACTCTGATGCCTGAGCCAAACTTTATACCCATAAATTGGAATCTCTAGGGGTAGAACATACATGGTAGCATTATTTTAAAGCTCCCCAAGTTATTCCAACCCACAATGAAGTCTGGGAACCAACGTAGTGTACCACGTATTCATATGCTCATTTTCATTCATATGGCCTTTACAACTTATGATGCCTCCTCTGCCAAAAACATTTACTCTGGATTTCTCCATTCACTTATCCTTCCAAAATATCACTTTTTTGTTAAAGCTTTCTGGATCATGCCAGTACACATGGAACCATTTGACATGTAATTTCTTTTGAAACACTCAGTTGGCACCTTCATTTATGCAATTATCTTCTTCCTCTTCAAAATCTTGTAATTATCTTTATTACTGGTTATTTTGAGAACACCTAATCTTCCTACCAGATGATAACATCGTCTTCAGCTAAGACAGTAGTTCTTCTGTGTCTCAAAACATTGAGTACATCTCAATTCGCAAATGGGATGATGACATTCAATAAATATTTTTTATCTTTCACTGCTTAATAAACAGCTACATGCAATAGTCTGAAAACTTCTTTTCATTCATTTATTTGTTTGAGACAAGGTTTTCCTCTTTTGCCCAGGGTAGTCTCCAACTTCCAGGCTCACGGGACCCTCTTGTCCCAGAGTGGCTGGGACTACAGGTGCATGCCAATGAACCTGGCTCTTCCTTTTACTTATTTATGTGGCTTTAAAAACAACTAAAAGATGAACCTCACAGAAATAATGTACAAAAGAAGCCAGATACAAGAGAATATTGAATGAGTCACTCCACGTATAGAAAGGTAAAATCCATGTTAGAAGCCAGGAGGCTTGTTCCCTTTGGGAAAGTAAAAATGGGCACTAATAGCCTGGAGGGGAGGATGATGCTTCTAGGGTGCTGGCCATGGCCGTGCCTGTTTCATAGGTGTTTTCACTGTGTGATAATCTCTTGAGCTGTACTACACCAATCTATGCACTGTTCCATAGGCATTTTATATTTAAAGAGCAATGTTTTCCATTTGGGACCCCTCTTGTCTCTCAGGAGCTATTCCTAGTCTCCATTCCCCATTTCTATTTCCCATTCCTTTTTGCCAATAAATTTTCCTACTCTTAACCTCCAAAAAAAAAAAAGGAGAAATGTTTTTGAAAAGCTAAGCATCACTAACAAAGTTTGCATAATCATTTCCTTTTCCACAACAACCAAGTTCTTAAACACTGCAAATTAAGGAGACAGAACATATTAAAAATAAAATAAAATGAACTATTTGTGAAATGATCTGAAAATGAGTATTAAAAAGAACCCCAAAGTTTCAAACCAGAGCTTGACAAAGGTGGTAAAGAATAGAATACATAGGACATAAACTTTAAAGAATTGTTATATTCTGTATTATTGTTAAAAAAAAAAAAGTACCTGTACATCTAGTCGCCATTCGAGGCTATGGTAGGTGGGAAGGTCAGGTGCCAGTTCATTTAGAATAGTTCTGATCTCCTTTCTGTTGTCCAGATAAAGCTGAAGCAATAATTTGTTTAATTCTTCAGAGAATCCCAAAACAAAAACAGAGTCTTGGAAATCCAGTTCAGATATCTAAAAGTACATTCATTTAACAGATCAAACCATATCTTTGTCTAGTAAATGCTAAAATGTTACACAAAAGATGTACATGATATCCTCTAATTTTGTCTCTAAAATTTCTTAAATTGCCTACCATTCCAAAACCTGACTTACTGATATACAAAAAATATTTTGTAAGTACGAAAGGAAAGAACTGCCATGCTCAGTTTTGCCTATTTTCCATCACGCCAGATACCGCTGATATGCAAAGAAATCATTTCATTCTTTCTTCTTTTAGTATACAAACACTATGCCTATGGTTCAACAACATACAGAATTATACAGAAATAAATTATTCTAATTTATACTTGCAAGAGGCATTCATATTAGCATATTACAGTCATTGTTTAGGTAGTCTTCACAATGGTAATTACACCGTTAACAACAATATTAAATATACAAGTGCCTGCCACCGTTATAATGTAGAGCACAATGAACTTTTTAAAAAAGGATCCAGATAATACAAAGCAGTTCTCAGAAGCCCTTACCATAAGCTTTGAGCTCTCAGTGAGGAGATAGGTTAAGCCCTCCACACCGTGCTGGACAGTGTCACTACTCACATTGAGTTTTCCTAAAAGAAGGAAAAACAGGCTGATTATTCCGGGATGTCCATCTTTTTATTCAAACGCCTATTAAAAATATTCTCAATTAGCCCACGTTTTCAAATACCGCAATACAAAAGGGGAGCCGCTGAGACCCTCCCGCGCCTTCCCCGCACTCCGCGCCGGACGCCCTCCGTAGCTCCGGCCGGGTAACCGCGGCCCAACGCGCACTGCGGGAGCCCACCCCTCCCGAGTACGCGCTCCTTCCGGCCCGCCGAAGAGGAGCTCCACACGGGCGGACTTACGCCCAGGTTCCCCTCCTCTGGGGGGAACAACCGCACAGCGGTGCGGACGGCCAATATTAACCAGCCACCCGCACGTTCACGCGGACGCACCCCCGACCCGGGCTCCGCGGCGCAGGTCTGCCCCACCCACACGGCTGAGGCGGGGGCATGCGCACTGCAAGGGAAGAAACCGCTCATGGCCTCTCCGCGTCCCAGCTACTCAGGGGACAGGCCGGCGCGGCGCCCGGCCGAGGGGCTCCGACGGCTTTACTCTACCGCCCCGCGAGCGACACACTGCGACGCGGGAGGTCCCTCCTCACGCGACCCCGAGCGGCGCGCCCTTCCGCGCAGCCCGCAGCGCCCGGCGCCCGCTCTCCTTACTGGCGGCGCCGTCGTAGATCTTCGGGTTCGACCCCCGCCTCAGGGACTCCACCGCGATCCGCCCGAACTCCGCGACCACTGCAAGGAAGTCAGAGGCCCTGAGCGCCGCGCGCCCTCGCGGCGTCTTCCCCGCCCGCAGAACGCGGTCCCTGCGCTCTCACCCGCGCCGTCCACTCGCGGCAGGAAAGCCAGGTGCTCCTTGTGCTCCTCCGACAAGTCCAGCAGCATCTTCTCCGCCCGGCGAATCTCACCCGCGGCGCCGGCCCCGTCCCCGCGCCCGCCACTTCCGGCGCTCGCGTCCAGCGCGTAGAGGCTCGGGCGCCGCAGGCCCCCACGCTTTGGGTTCCGGCTCTAGCGGTCTCCCCAGCGGAGGCGCCGAGCGGGAGGGCCGCTTGGGGTAGAGCGCAGGCTGCTGTAGGAGCCGGAGCTTCTTCCCATTCATACTCTTCCCGCAAACGTGTCGTGAGTGCACGGTGCTAGCCTTTGAGGGAAGAGGAAAGGTGTTTAAAATCTGACATGGCTCCTCATGGAACTTTCATGTATATGTGCTGCCGAAGCGAGCACTCATGCAACGTTCATGGATAATAGCGAAACAATTTAATACTGGTTAAGTGCTGTGTCAGGAAGGCTGTTAATGTGGCCGGGCGCGGTGGTGCACACCCTTAATCCCAGCCCTCAGAAGGCTGAGGCAGGAAGAGCATTGCAAGTTCCGGGCTAGCTTGCACTGCATAGCAAAACTCTGTCTCAAAAAGACAAATAAAAGTTGTTAATGTTTATTAATTAATTCATTTTTCAGTTTATAAGAAACTTATGTGGTAGGTTCATTACTATTTCCACTACAGATAAACAGAGATAACATTATTAGCTTGCGCAGAGCTCTTCTGTATGTTAGTATATCTCATTTAATACTCTCAATACGAATGTCCTCCATTTTACAAGTTAAGAAACAAAGCTCTAAAAGTTATGTGACAATACCGCTGATAGCTGCAAGGAGATGATAGATCTCTTGCCCACCTGCTCCAAAGGGCCATCCATCTACACACCAGGCTGAAAACTGAGGGCATTTGAAAATTTTTTCCAGGTACTGGTGATTGAACCCAAGGTCTTGGCACTGAGTAACATGCCCAGTCCATTTTTTATTTTGAGACAGGGTTTCATTATAGTCACTATTGCCCAGGCTGGGCTTGCACTTAAAATATTCCTACATCAGCCTACCAGAGAGCTAAGATTAGACCCATGCCACTATGCCTGGCAAAACTGAAGGTTTGTAACAAGTTTTCTGAGGTGCTGGCGATCCACCTAGGGCTTTATGTATGTTAAATACACACTCCGCTATTGACCAACATCCCCAGCCCCTGTAACAAGTTTTATGAATGATTCTAAATTAGGATAAATATGATGATGATGATGAAAATAACTAAAGCTTGTAGAATTCAGAACAATGTCATTTTTATGTTTTGAAGATGTATGAGAACTTGGCCTCTTTTCCAACTCTCTTCTCACCTGTTTGGTTCAAATATGAGAGAGGATAGGAACTGGTAGGAATATGACTCTCCAAATCTCTCTTCTTAGTGTCGGGGACAAGGGAGAAATAAGAGGGGAGAAGGAGACAGAAACAGAGGCAGACTTCACATCTGTCTTCTGTGTAGGGATGTGGGGATATTCCCTGGGATTCTCTGTCCTAGGCGAACACTCTGTTACTGAGCTACCTGCCCATCAAGAGACAGCTCAGGTAGAAGTGGAACTGGGAGTTTCCCGGCTCCTCTCTCTCTGCCTTATCCTTTACATCTGACTGAAATGCTTTCCTCCCCTTGGGCACAAAAAGTTCTTGAACTGATCATCTAGGTGTCACATCTTTGATGCAGAGAGCAGTTTCTGCTTAGACTGTAAATTGTCAATCAACAAATAGTGGCATCAGTTTCTAGAGATGCTTTTATTCATACATACTTTATTAAGAAAGTGTCTGTTGAAAAATAATTTTCAGAAAAGTCACTATCCTTCTATGTATATATAATGAACACATACCAAACTTTATTGAACTCATTCATGAATGAAGAAATTAGTGAAAACACACTATGAACCAATTTCACCTGATGCAGAAGAAACATTCAAGAATGCTGACGGCCCAGCATGGTGTGGTGGTGCACGCCTGTGATCCTAGCACTTGGGAGGCTGAGGCAGGAGGATCACTGTGAGTTTGAGGCCAGCCTGGGCTACGTAGTGAGTTCAAGGCCAGTCTAAACTGCTTAGCAAGACCCTGTCTCAAAAAAAGAAAAGAAAAAAGAGGGGGCTGGGGATTTAGCTCAGCAGCAAAGCCCCTGCCTGGCAAGCGCAAGGTCATGAGTTCAATTCTCGGTACGGGAAAAAAAGAACAAAAAAAAAAAAAAAGAAAAAAGAAAAAAGAATGTTGAAGTGACCTAACAGATACAATGTTATACCACTTTGGAAGTTCTCCTCTGTAATCTCTGTAATCCCAGGGACTCCAGAGGGGACAAGGGACATGAAAGTGAGAATAAGAAATAGCAGAGTGACAGCCAGGTGTGTTGGCACACATCTGTAGTCTCAAGGCTCTGGGAGCCTAAATGAGGAGGATCACAAGCTGATGCCCAGCCAGGGCAATTTATCGACTTAGTGAGACTCTGTCTGAAAATAAAAAATAAACAGAGGGCTGGTGATGTAGCTCAGTGTGAAGGCCTAGGGTCAGTTCTCAATGAAAGCAACAGGGATGCTAGAGGGAGGGAGGGATAAAGAAAAGAAAAAGAGAAGGGAATGGGCTGTCCAGAAAATGTGGTCAAGAAACTGAGTTACCCTCAGGGAAGATCAGCCTGATGTTTGTTAAACGCTATGTTTAAACCATTTAAAAATACTCCAAGATAATTTGCATCGTGGTGAAAGTGACCATTCTATAAAGTGGTTTTCAAAGGTTATGTTGATCAAAGGTTATTTACTTGTTTGGAGAAGTTATCTGAATGAAAATAAAGAGTCTCCAGACCCGGCTGTGACAGTTACGACCCGCATGACTCTAACAAGCTGCTTGGATATGTTTTAGCTTCTTCATCTCTAAGGTGTTATAAAGGTTGCCTGCTTGTGCTGTGCAGGATTGTGATGAATACATTAAAATAAATTATAGTCAAATGAATATATTCATGTAAAGAAATAGATTTTAATGATTCAATGAGAAAATACATTAGAATTAGTCAATTTAAAGATTTGGAAACTGAAGCATTTTATAGGGGCATATTTTTCTTTCTGTACTTGGGGACTGAATCCAGAGATACTTTGCCATTAAGGTACATCCCCAAGCTTTTTCTTTTTCTTTTTCTTTTTTTTTTTTTTTTTTTTTTTTGTCTTTTTGAGATAGGGTCTCACTATGCAGTTCAGGCTGACCTTGAGCTCACTTTATAGCCCATGCTGGTCTCAAACTCAGAACGATCCTCCTGCCTCAGCCTCCTGAGTGCTGGGATTACAGATGTGTACCACCATGCCCAGCTAGGGGCAGACTTGAAATGCAAATAATTGAGAGTTCCATGGTGATCATCCCAGAATCCATTCATTTAATTCAAATGTTTATTGAGCAGTTCCTTAAAGGTTCAAGCACGTATTCTGCCTTGGCAATACGGAGGTCAATAAAACAGTATCCTTGACCTCTAGGAAGTGACGGCAAAGTGGAGAAGACAGACAGTAAAGCAGCTTCAGTGTAACGTGATAAGAGGAAATACAGGAGGACCAGAACGTATGTAAACATAGAGAGGGAAACAGAGAAAGTGGAAGTCAACTCTAATTTCATAAGATTCAGACTCAGAATGAATATCCTAGGTTATTCTGCACAAGTTAATTATGGTCTCTTACAATTCTGTAACATTACCTGTGTACGTTCTCCATGTCACTTTATGCAGTCTTATGCTCAGGGCCAAGGCGGAGAAAGAATAAATACCCAATGCTTTCTCAGTTGATCCTGGCAGAGAGCTCGCCTTAGCCGTCGTCTTCTCTCAGTTTCACCCCACTCATCGGCCTCCCTCCAGCTTGTCCTCTTCCCTTCCCCCGTGCCTTCCCATGCTCCCTTCCGTTTCTTGGGGATGACGGCTCTAGGGTCTATGCGTGGGGCTTCTCCTTGGCTGTGTTTGAATGGTGCATAACACACTCTCGTCCCTGCGAAGAGCTACACTTCGACGCAGTGTGCTGTTGAGGGGACACACACACGAGGGCAGTGCTCGCTCACACGAGCTGCTCTCTCATGAGTCTGAGGCTGGCACCAAATGCATTGATCAGCTCATGATTTTTTTTTCATTCTTTCAGTTCACTTTTTAAAAATCGTGTTATAAATGCGTATTATAGTCCTTGTTGAATTTTCTCAATTTGAGTATAGCTATTAATCCAGATTAAGAACTACCCCTGCCCCACCCTGCCCATCTGCTGCTCCTCTTATTTTCTTTCCAGTGAAGTTCGCACCTTACTGCAACATCTCTTTAGCACCATCTTTGTGTTTTCTTTTGTATTAGCTTTTGCTGTTCTCCAATCACCTGTCTAGCTAGAAACTCAGAAGTGTCTTCAAAAGTGACCTTTACATCTTAGGTGTCCTCGACTGTTGTACCAGAATCTATCTTCAAGTCTTCCTAACAAATAGCATCGAAAACATATACTATATAGAAAAATTTAATAGATTTTAAGATCTCTACATTTATAAGACACCACTGAGCAAAATCAAAGAGGACTTAAATAAATGGGATGAGTTTCCCATCACTGTAACAAGTACATGAGGTAATCAACTTCTACAGAGAAAAGGTTCATTTTGGCCGACAAGCTGTGGTCCACTGACCCTGGTGCTTGCAGGCCTGCGGTAAAGGGATGCATCGTGGCGGGGTGTGTGTGATGGAGCAGAACCACTCACCTGATGACCAAGAAGCAAAAAAGAGAAGAAGGAAGTGGCTGGGACTGCAGTACCTGCCTGCAGGGCATCCCCCCCTCCACTGCACCTGAGTACTTCCCAGTAGGTGCCCTCTCTTCAAGATTGTCCTGTCTCCCAGTTGTGCCCAGTCGTCATCCCAACAACTTTTAAAATAGAGAATGGCAAGCACAGTCAAAGCAAAGTCAGAAAAGAACAGTCAGACCATTCATGCTACCTGATTTCCAGACTAAGCAGGCTACAATACCGAGGGCGCTGCGGTACTGGTAAAGGACAAGCACAGAGGTCCGGGGCACAGCATAAAGTCTGCAAATAAGTCCACAGGTATGTTGGCAATTGGTTTTCAACAGAAGAGCCAAAGTAATCCAGTGGGAGAAAGAAAAACATTTTCAACAATGG